CTACCAGGCTGATCTCGAACGTCGAAAGTCAATATATCATTATCTGGGTCGATACCTTTAAGCTTATAAATTAAGCTACCTACAAACAATTTTTATTTATAAATAGTTTATTATTATTATTATTATTATTAGTATGTATAATATACAAATAAAATATTCTGTATTTGTAGAAAAATCTTTCTCAATTTTTATAAATTAATAAATTTATTCAACCATATCTAGATATACAAATTTATTATACAAGAAAAACAAAAGCCAAAGAAGAGTCGTAAAAAAAAATATTAATTTTATTCGTGCAAGTTTATTCGTATGTTTATTAAAACAAAAAACAGCAACGGTTTATGCAACGGTGCTTGAAAAGCGCTACGTTAAACTAGTAATAAATTTTGTGATCCGTAACCAGCGCTACCGCACATATACATGAATGATGCGTTTGTGTTTTTCCATTACGAATTAATCGATCGTAAATTAAATTTTCATTTGACTGTTTGCTTAATACAAATTATAATGATGTGTTAAATTTTGCTTATTACATGATAATTTATGTTTGACCGATGTTTATTGGAACAATGAAATTAAAAAAAAAATAATATATATATATATATCATTATTTTTACCAATCGGAGTTTCAGGCCCCTCCTTCAATCTGAGAACAATTTCCGTCTGTCCGTCTATAAGAAATCTAGGAGGATTGTTTCTAGCGGAGCAATATGTTAGAAGATATCCCAATACGACATATAACAATTCCACTTTAAATCGACTTCTTTTACATGATCGCAATAGCCAGGAAGATGATCTTGTTTGCTTATCTGACGTCATCTTGATCGAATAATACTTATAATCGGCATGTTCCTTCCCGCAAAATCTTCCACGATTAAGTCATTTCTTATTGTACTGAAATAAACGCAGTTTAAACATGCAGTTTATTAACAAAAATGTTGCTGTAAAATGAGTGATCAATTACGCTATTAAAAGTAAGGATGTATTGAGTAGTTAAATAAAAATTACTATATTTATTGAAAAATCAATGAACAAATATAATCTCTGAGTAGTCCGGAATAATAATATAGGGGGAGCAGTGCGATTATTATAATCAATACAGATTAACATACATTTAGTAAATGATGACATACATTTTATTTGCAAACACATACGCAGTCTATTTAGTTGCTGCAATTTAGTTTGATAACTCGTAAACCGGTATTCACGCCGAGTGGTTGCTTTCTCCTCGGTAAAACGTCGTCTTGATGCAATGTCAAGAGTATCTCGCCGCGAACGATCACGGAGATTAAACCGGAGTGAAAGCCTCAGGAAGAAGCGACGTTTTTCTCACGGCTCTTAAATTGTGCCGTATGCAATAATTAAAAGACTATGTCTCCCAACTAGACAACACCCCCGCTACTCTCGCATTACGCAAGCTATATTTAATACCTCGATCTCGTCCTACGATCTTACTCGGCTAACGAAGCGATGATATAATATCGCATTCTTAAGAAAGAAAGCGTTGCAATTCAAAACGGGATGATTTCAATGCTCGATAAAAAGCATTTTGCAAACAGCCGTGTAAATAAATTAAAATTACTATTAATTCTAATTAATTCCAATCTTAAGTTTGATCGTAGTGTAAAGCATAGTAGTTCTGTAAAAATGCAAATAATCTTGAAAAATATGAAAGTTAGATCAGAAAATAATGATCTCATTTTCTTCGATAGAAATTTAATTTCATATTACTTCAGAAAACTGTAGTTGAGAATATTCGGAATTTCAAAATATCGTTTAACATTTAAAAACTTGTATCGCGGAATAAATACGCGGAAGAAGCATTCGCACTGACCCGTGCTTGTGTAAGAATTCTCCTTCAGAGATGGTTTGACACTTGAAGAACACTGAGTGAGCACACCGAACGGTGCTCTTCTTGCCAACAGAGTGTATCGGCCACGCTCTTGACTTTTAAGACTCTGCTAAATAACAGGCTGGTGCGAAGCTTCTCGATGTACGGATGTACCCGTGTATTCAAATGTGCACGATGTACGTGCGCTATCTGATTTCGAATAAGCGTATAAAGACCTTGTAGCCCAGGAAGCGAATCTCTTCTTTTTCTGATGACTACTGATAAGAATTATACCGAATACGATTTTTACTTGCGATAATAACCAGAACTTTCCGACATAATTTTGGACGATTTTATCTACCATTTATTATATTTATATCATATATTTTTAATTGATATTACACTAAACATTTTAATTTTTACATATATAAAATTTTCATTATAATAATAACAGCTTGGCATGCATATATATATATATATATATAGTTTTCTTTAAAATTTCTAAAATGCTATTTTCTTTATCGCAAATTCTTAGTTATCTCAGTTATAATAATTATAATTAATTATATAATTAGCTATAATAATTCTAATCTTTTATCTATTTAAAGATGTAATATTCAAATGCATAGCATGAAGAAGATTGCGTGACTAAAATTTTCTCTGGCTCTTTACTACTCACCTTCGCGCCTTGCGAAATTCTTCGAGAAGATTGATCAATAAAACGCTTTAGAATCGGTAGAATTTTATTATTTGATAATCGTCACCTTTTTTTTACTTTCGAAACAAACTATTCGTACGATAGTCCCCCTGAGCATCGACCGAAAAAAATAACTTGCGTTTATATGAAGGAAATTTTCTCTATGCACGCTGATTCGAATAAAGAGGCAATAAGGTCGTATATTCAATGGGGAGTTGTCCCGAAGTGCGTGACGTCATTTCCTACACCTGCCATGCATGCTTCCGAATGATAACACCGTCCGGGATATTGACATACACCCATAGTACTGTCTGTTGCCCAGCCAACCCCATACAGAATTTCCTTGCGTGACGAGCTCCCCCACACCATGAGCATATGTGTAAAGGATCCTCTTGGTGGGTGCAGACACGCCACTTGTGTATGTGATATCGATACGACGTATTCTTTTTTCACAACTCCAAAATTGAGGTAGTCCACAGAAAAGGAGAGGATAAAGATAATAATCTTTCAAATCAATCTTCCGTAAGCTTTTCACTTTTCTAATTTCAATATTTTAATCTTAATTAAGGGAAAGTACATTATTTTGATGAGACTTTTGGACTCTTTGTTGTATCAAACGTTATTTAAAAATTAATCTCCAGGAAAGAAATATGTGATGCAAAAACTTCGATAGTTTCTCTAAACAAAAATTCGTCAATTCCCGGATTCCGTGTGTCTGCGGTTACATCTGGTGTTACGACAATAAACAGATGCTGCTGCGAACGAAGCACATAAGCAAAATGAATTTCCTTTTCACACTGGTGGTGCGACGAAATGTTACCCGTGGGAATGAAATTAGCAGTGTCTTATCTCATCGTACGATTAATTATGATGATACAATAGCGTTGTGCGACTATTTAAGAAAAGGAGGTATTTCATAACATAAGAGGATACATAAGCCGAGTTAAACATGATTGCATCCTTGCGTCATGAACATTGTCGTTTAATAATTAATATGTTGTCATAAGGAAATTTGGGTCAGTGCTAACAATCACCGATCGCTATCCAGTGATTAGCTCCGCTTCAACGTTTAATTTTGATTCCGTAATAAACGGAAGTCATAGCACGCAAAAGCGAATTACATGCAAAAAAAATATATATTTATGTAAATGTATAACAAATAACATTATTAAATTTATTTTAATTTATTTTTGGCAAATAATATCTCCTTAAAATAATTAGTGTCTGATTTATAAAATATTTCTTTTAAATATTTCATCATTTATTATCTATATATTTATTAAAATAGCAAGTAAAATTTTATAGAGAAGAGGAATATACATATCTCATTTTCGCCTTTTCGTGTTTCATATAAGTTTCATTCTTTACTTCTTCAATCATGCTTCAATCATGAAGATAGATGAAGATATATATATATATATATATATATATATATATATATATATAGAGAGAGAGAGAGAGAGAGACCTTCACTTCTTAAGTTTGTTGAAAATTGATTGTATAATAATAAGTATACGAAACGTCTTGCTTTACAGATTACAAGGCCAGTTATCAAAGAGTGGCTAACAATACCGTTGATTCCGCGAATTAAACTTTCAGTGGTGGTGTCAGATAAGCATTAATTGCACGTCAGATTCGTGAGATTCCACACCGGCATAATTCGTACCAGGATGTCGACTGTGATGGACGTGCTGTCTGTCAATGTCACGTTTTAAAAGTTCTGCAGAACTTTCTAAAAAATTGCGGACGGGCCGCCTCTCTTTCCACGACCAATCAAATCCGATAAAAGGGACAATTTATTAAATTGTGAAAATAAAGTGAAAATGAAGAGATTATTACAGATTTCATATAAGATATTTTTATCCTACGAATAAGTCTAAAGATAAATTCAGTAATAAAATTTTATTATCAGGAGTCAATAAATAAATATAGTCATTTAAACACATTTTGCTGCCAATTATTAAGAGAATATTTTTAATACGAAAACAATATAAAAATACAAATATATTGAAACAAATGCTTGTGATTGTGTTTGTGATTATGAATGTAAAATCACAAATGTTTATTCGAAATTACTTTGTACTCACCAAATTTTTTTTATATGACGTATAGCACAATGGCGGGAACAGTTTTGTTCGGTATGCCTCAGCGAAAGTAAAAATGAATGTTTTAGTCACACAATTGTTTTATTGTAACTTCTTCCTTTAGCACATTGTTAGTGCCAGCATTTGCTTAATTGCGAAGTGGGCAAAATGTTTTCATATATCCGTCTGTGTCAATAAACTTTATATTCAAAAATCATCATATTCAATTTAAATTGTTGACTTATTATTACTGTCAATTTCTTTCATATGAAATTACCGTTAAAATATCAAAATGACGCTTGATAGTACTTGCTTTCAATGCATCATCCATTCAGTAGATATATTGTAATGCACGTAACGCACACGATGGCAGAAATCGATGAGTTTATTATAATTTAATTATCTCGAAATCACTGTCATTCCAATTACAAGAAATATATTGTTTTGAAAGGGAACGTGTTTAAAATGTTCACTCAAGTTGAAAGAAACTTTTTTTTCACACTTCACTATTAATTGGAAACTAAAGTTTGCACGATGTAATTCAGTAAATAAAATTTAGGTAAAATAATTTCTTTTTTTTTTATTGTAATAACACTTTTGCGCGCATTCCTCATTATCTCTGGGTCCAACGTGCGGATCAAATCGAATCTTTTTTACACGTTTGCGAGATTAAGACAAACGAATCTACATAGAACCGTGTCATCGTCCGATCGGCCGTGAGCGCGGCGCTCACCTGTCCGAGTGAGCTTACGATAGTAAACTGAAGGTACGAACGAAGCCAGCGTGGTTCCCGTCGAGAGAGCGCAGATCGTTGCCTGGCATTCGTTCTGTGGCGTGAGCACTGACCGTGCACAGAACACCACAAAACGTACGGTTGTTCCAAGTTAAATTCAGCCCGTCGTGCTCCCCGAGGCGTGCACGAGGGGGCTTTCCCCCTCGTCACAACCTCCGGTCACCTGTGCTACCTCACACCGCCCGCAGGGGAAGATATATTTTGTGGGCAATAGCGGGGCACCGCCCGCAGACCGTCGATCGTTGATCGTGGACGAAACGGTAGCACGATCATTAGCGCGATGGTATAATCTTCCATATCGGACATGGTCGTACCGGTTTGGATGATACATATATTTATTGAACATGCTGATGCCACCAGAGTGTGCGTGATGATTTCTTAACGAAGTTTTGATAAAAATGAACAAAACAGTAGTAGCTTCGCGTGTTTAATACTTTAAATTTAAATGGGAAGAAAACAGGCGATAAATAATACCTTTTTAAGAACAAAAAATTATTTAGAAGAAATCAATTGCGTAAAAAGGTAAAGGAAATGTCAAACAAAACAATCGACCACGACCAATTTATTATACATTAATCTTAGAATTAATAACTCTAAAGAGATAACTCTAAATTGAATTGAATGCATAAAAGATAAGGAAGCAAAAAGATGTAAATGAGAAACATGATGACATTAGTTTTTATTATTTTTATTTGATTTTGTATGCTACTTCTCTGTAGCAATGTTAATTAATAATACATAATGTATGAGCAATGTTAATTAGTTGTATATAAGTTTTATTTTTATCTAACGTTATGTAAAATGAATTATATTACATCGCATACATCAGATCGCATAAATCCTATGAAGAAATGAAGAAACAAGTTTATGAATAGTTAATCTAGCATATCAGCACTGTAAAGCTCTGCTTTACCCGCAAGAGATGCTATAACGATACAAATAATGTTACATCAACTATAAATTCTCGTGGCAGATGCGTGCTTAGAAACGCTTAGAAAAATTCAATGATCTATCAGGCCTAAATAATATTTGAAATCATCATGTACCTACTGTGAGTTAAGTTCGTTGAACCTGACTAACCGGCCAGAATAATCACTTTCTACATTAAACTTCAGATGTCGCACGCTGTTTTCCAAGCACTGAAAAAGAAACTAATTCGATTTCTTCTTTTATTTTTTTTTATCTAAGTTTTTTTATAAATTATATTGATTCAAAAAACTTAAGTATTAAAATCGCAAAGATAATTAATTCGCGGTCATTCAAGCTCCGACAAACACATAAAATCAATATATTTTAATCATATCTTTCATCATTTATATACTTATATTTATATCATATTTTTCTAATTAATAGTTTTATAAAGAGAAAATGTGAAAATACAATCTTTAAGCAATAAGAAGATAATATTCATATATATATATATATATATTTAATGTAGATAAAGCATGAACGAAAGCTGAAGTTTATTTTTAATTACTAAACTACTAAAGTTACAATCATTTTTTATGTACCAACACGTATTTTAAAACAAAAATAAAATCATATTTGTAAATAGGAATTAAATTAAATTAAGAAATAAAATTTAAGGAAAGATTTTATTAGAATCATTAAAAAAAAGCTGTATTTCTCAAAATAATTACCAGCTTACTTCTATACTTACTCAGATTAGCTTCTTATTTTTAAAACTTCTTATTTTAAAAAATGACGTAAACATCGTAAAATAAAAATTCTTCGTGTTAAGAATAGAGAAAGACACAGGTTTGCTATAATCTAAATATTTCTTTTTAAATAGATATTTAAAAGTAGACTTGTCATCATTATTATCAAATATCTTTTCTTACGTACGATCATACATGTCCCGAAACCTTTCGTTTGAATCAATCATGATAATCTGTTGCCAGTTACATGATCTTCACCAATGTGAAATCGCCTGCATGAGGCACACGTGAAGAATTCTACAGATAAAATTGGGACATTCAGTGACGACCCTGAAAAAAGGATGTCATCGCGTAGGATGACATAGTCATAAGTTGAAAATAAATACAAGAACTAGCAACTATCAAACGTCATCTACGTCATTTACGTGCCTACGTACATATCAATCTGTTATTAATTTGTTGACATCGCTTTTTCAATGTTTGCCTCGTTAAAAATATTTGTTTGTAGGCAAATAAAAAAACAAAGAATTATTTGTCCGCTTTATCTCTTCCTCCTCGTTTGCGTCACTTGCCTCGTTTGTCCGCTTCCTATACCTTTCGGTTACGAATCGATTCTAGATTGTAGAAAGTTCAATCGCTCTTTGAAGTTTTAGCATCCCATTGGAAGCTGAACTACGTTGCTTTGTTCACGTCAAAATCTCGATTCCATTGATGGTCGTCATCATGGTCGTCATCCGGCCTGATGCTCGCCAAAAGGGACGTGGCGATTTCGCCGGCAGCAGCGCAGCTTAACGAAAAGAAGCACGTAACTGTGCTTTAGTATACGCATCAACTTTTCTCATTCCTTCCTTCTCTCTCTCTTCTCTCTCTTATCCTCGCGCAGCGCTTACCGTTACAGCCATCGGATGCTCTTTCAAGCGACAGCCGCAGAAGATAAGCACAAAGATAAACTATTAACGCGTAGCGCGGCTCAAAGTCTCTGCTTCCCTATCATTTCTCGTTCGCTTGAGAGGCGAATATCATTAATTCAGCGATCGCCGCTGTATAATTCGCGAAATTTATGTTAATGTTTTTAAGCTCTCCGTCTGGTCGATGTTATACCTCGTCATACGATTCGACTCAATTTCACGGAATAAAGCAAGTATTAAAGTAAATCGATATATTTAATGTTTTTTTTTTTTTTTTTTTCTTCTTACTAAAAATTAGTCGTACGTATTAATGTCGATATCGCTCTACGAGGTCAAATTATTGGCCTACGGTCAATTAGCCGGCAAGTATGCGTCAGATGTATTACTGGCCAAACAGGATGCGCGTTTTATCGCAGCGCAGCGGTGACCGTCGTACAATCTCATCAAATATTGCCTCCGGAGGCCGCCTCGTAGCTCGAGCGTTTTTCGAACAAACCGTCCACTCGGCTAAGTATGCGACTCGCCGAAGGAGAGTGTTGCCGGAGTGTGTGCCAGAAGAAGTAGTAGGATCGAAATAAAGAAAAAAAAAAAAAAAGGAGAAGAAAAGGAAAAAAGAAATGAGAAAGAGTGGGGGGGGGGAGACGTCCTTTATTCCGATGCATAAGCGTGCCTTGGTACAGGCATTAACCCTCCCCACCATTTTCTCTCCTTTCTCTTTTCCTCGCGCGCCTCGCGCACCGCGGTTATAGTCATCGGATTCTCTTTTAGGGACCGTGCTAAGACTGCCAGATGAAAGTATATAACCGGTTCGCAGCTGCAGCCAGTCTGGAGACTGGGTATCGGCCGGTGTGTGCAACTGGCGAGAGCACACACCATGGCGCCAGGAACGGATTCGTCGCCCGTGGTCCCGAGAAGGGACCACGTCACTTCTTTTGGCTATTTCACCGAAATGCGAAAAACTCTCGTTAATCTTTTTCACAATAATAGCGTCCGTGTCCAGCTAGAAACTGGATGTCGAACGGTCACAAAATCTGACCGAAGCGAAAATTTAAATTTAAAGAGCAACCTAAAAGTTATATTAGATTTGGCCACATAGCAGGTGGCCAAGTATCCTTACCCGATGAATTTGTAAAGATCGATGTTATCGATCCGTTTCCTGCCGTCACGATTGTGTTAGTGAAGCAACTTTAGAAATCGACCCCTTTAATTCTTCCGTTAGGAGTATTTTTAACATCTCACGTCACGTCGTTGTATTGTCTCGTGATATTCATAGTCATAAATGGCTGAAATCAAGTAGAAATATATTAAGATAAGTCGGAGCGCACGATGTCTTTTTTAGAAGTCTCTCGTTATGCTTTCTCATGCAAGAGTAATATAATATAACGTCTACGTGTCATGACATTATGATAAACGTTTCGTGCACGAATTTCATCTGCATCTTATGCACAGGTAGCACAAACTCTCTAAATCGGATGTTCAAACTGGATATTCTTCCTAAAAAGATGAAACGGACTGATCAAAGGATATCCGCAAATCATGCGTAAGATTATGATTAGATGGCGAGAAGTGAAGAAAATGAAACATTGTGTGACGTGTTCAGAAATTGGCAAAAAAAATAGCCGCGTCGCGTTGATCGTCGGAATTTATTTTTTTCTTAATAAAAACAAAAATCTCTTTATTTTTATACTTGGGATACAAATGTCCTATTAGTGCCTCGAGGTTTTTTCGCGAAAAAAAGTCGACTGAATGTCAATGACTGTGCTTCCCAACAATTTCGAGATATCCTGCGAACGAACGACAGTCATAATAGATAAACGCGCCAAAATGACGGAAGATATGAAAAATCTACGAGATAATCATGCATAGCGCCGCTCAGCTTATTACGTTTAATGATCTTCGTAGAGATGAACCGCGCTTGATCTTCCGTGACGGAATAAGGCGCGTCCTCCGACAGGATGTTGTATCAAAATTGAAATGGCACATAAATATAACGTACGATTCACTAATGCGAGATTGAACATGATCATAATGTTTAAAAAGTTCACGGAAGCTATTCAAACGGTAATCTTCCAAATTAACTTCACTTTATGATTTCGGAAGCATCTTTTGTCGCGTACGTTAATTTTGACATTCCTTTCGTATAATTTAATTAATTTAATTCACAACAGCGACATTGAAAGCGCTTTGAATAATTTTCGATTGTAAGATAAATGAAACAACATGAAAAAAAAAAAATCTATTAATTGTTGTTTTGAGGATTAGCACGGGTAAACACCTCTTTGTTCGTAGCAACGTTAATTGCTGAAACTGAAATAAACTGGATAATTACATAGCGCGATAAAGAATACAAAGAAGTCGTGGTTGCAAATTTTTCACACGCTGTCGGACGCGCTGCCGCACTCGAGGCAGTTTGCAAAACGAGGGACGCGACTCGAAATACGAAGATGTGACTGCGAGAGGCAGACTCGAAGAGGTAATGTCGTCCAGGTGCTCGACCGGCCTCTGCCGAACTCACCTCCACCCCCTCTCTCATTTTCTCCTTTTCTCTCTCTCTCTCTCTCTCCCTCCTCTCTCTCTCTCTCTCTTCTCTTCCGTTACTCTCCTTCGGCTTCTTCGACTCGTCACGACCAGTCGGTCAGTTCCTCCTTTTCCACAACGCGGGATCCTTCCTAGGACTCCACGTCCTTTCCTCTTATCCGTGCGCCATTGGCCATTAGCGACCGCGCCGTCCGTTCGCCGTATCATCGGGGCCCCGGCGCGGTAAAGGGCCCCTCTTACCGGGTCCCGCGGGCCAGTCTTTCGTCGCGCGTTCACCGGTGCTCCGGTCTCCTCGCGTTCCGGACGATGATCTGCCTCCTCGGAGATCGGGCCATGTGATTTTGCCGCGGATTACGCGCGTTTCTCTACGATGACTACCCGCAAGTGCGTCACGTGGCGAGCGTGGCGATAAGATCCAGTGCACGCGCGATCGGGAAACTCGACGTGGCTCATCGCGCGCCAGTTTGCCACATAGGAATCAGTTTTTTTCTCGTTCAACCTTCCGTTAAACGCCGACGGTAACGTTCCTCCGGTTACGCGCTTCCGTCGAATTCTGCAAACAACAAACAAACCGAATCACTGGTGACAGAGATGACATTTCAGTCGCATACGTTGCGGTGATTTATCGATAGTTGGCCTAGATATGCGACAATTGTTGATAAATTGAATTGTGATTTTGAAAGGATTGGCCTCTCGACCTTGAATATTGCATCCCCCGATGAATGATAGTGTCTATCGCACGTTTTTCTTTTGTATTTTTTTCTGGAAATTGTGTCGCGCGCAATTTCGTACATCGAGCGAAAATTTTCGAATACCATTTGTTCTGACAATTGAGGTGAAAAAAATGTGCGTGACGTGCGTGATAGCGATGTAGTATCTAAATAAAGTGGCAGTCTCTCTTGTTATAGTCATTCTCACGTTGTACTGTACATGAAATCAAAATAACTTTAGTAATATATATACGAGTTTCATTTGACATGTCTTTGTATAACATCGAGATGTGATATACTTCAAGTATTCTTTCTAATTAGAATACACATGATCACCATTAATTTATTGTTTAAAGTGAAAAAGATGTCATTTGCAAAATTAATACCTTTCACTTAAAAGTTTCTTCATAAATTCTTAAATATTTCTTCAAAACTTTTAATAATTTTTCAAATATGTTCTAAAATTTCTCGATATAAATATTGAAAAATATTTTAATTGAATAATACTGAGGTCCAATTTTATCTTTTCACGTCTCAGTTTTTCGAATTGATCTCCAGTTCTAATAAACGATAAATTAATAATTAATAGGCTGTCATCCGTTTAATTTAAATCTGTTATTATTTGCATACGCGATGTAAATATTAATTAAACGTATATTTCGATGCATAATATGAAACAAATTAATTTTTTCACATCCTTTACACATATTTATATTCGTGATACGAACTCACTGACGATACAAACCAAACCAGTTGGAATTCCACTTGCAAATGTCATATCGACTATCATACGAGCGTGCAAAGGTCGACCAGTCTTTATTTCTTTTCCAATCGGCAAGAAATATTTCATTTAAATACATCTGAGAAATTTAGTCTCGTAAATTTAACATATTCAAATCAAGACGACGACTATGCATTCAGTTTTACTTCATTTATTATTAAATTATGTAACATTATAATTGACGTAAGAATATTTCTTCGTTGAAGGTTTCTTAATGGTGTTATTGATTTTTCAACGATGAAGTGAAGCTATTAGTCCGAACTTGAAAAGGATTATATCGGGAATGCAGCTGGATGTATCGCGATCGGCTTTTTTTCAAAAAGTAGCGGTTAAAGCAACACGATAGTGAAACTTTTCGTGAATTCGCACGATGTAAAACGAGAGTGCAGTGAAAATCGCAGTGTTCTCTTTTTTTTTTTTTTGTACGTGAACTGAAAAACAAGCTATAACTCTACACTGCCCGTTCTAAGTTTTATCTTGAACGTATCGAATGTATTCCTGAGAAAACGCAGCCGGTGCCGACCAGATGGGAAGTGATGTATACTTATTATGGCAGAAACGTTCTCAAAGAGATCCGTCGCAGCTAAGGTGAATTTTTGTCATGATTCATTAATCATAGTTAAGGCGCTATAATATAAAGTATTAAGTTGATATGGGAGAATAACGATAAAGTTGAAACAACCAATAACAAGAAGAAATAAAGGAATTAGATTGATTTAATAATTAACACAGTGACAGCGATCGATCTATGTGTCTATCCTAATTTGACGATCGTACCGTTAGTAAGACAAAGCGTACGAGGTGTAAGAAGCAAACAAAGCGCGTGAAGATACCGGAAAGATATCACAGCCTCCCTTGTAGAGGCGACACGAAATCTCATAAATGTGGCATTGACGTATGAGAAGCTTTTAGCTGACTACAGTTATTCGTCCGAGAAGCCTTTTAAGCGTAAGTCAGACAGGGTATGTAATTTTCATGTACGACTCTCTCTCTTCCCCCTCTTCCTTCTCTTCCCTTTTCTCTTTCCGATAGGCGGCTGGACACTCGTGACACGTACGCGGCCACACGCGTACTTTGCACGGAATCCCGCGCGTGTGCATCGTACTCACCCCCCCCTCGTTTCATCTGGTCTCTCGTCTCATCTCTCGTTTCATCTTCATTGTCCCGTTTCGTTTCCTAGCGAGCGCGAGATGCGTCGCACCGTAAGGAATCTTTCCTCGCGCTTCCTTGCCGCGACGGCGTCTCCAGCTTCGGGAAAGCGAACGGATATAAATCTCCTTTGTATCTCTCGCCTCGTTTCTCTGTTTGTACGAACTCGCTGCGTCGCCCTCGAAACGATCCCGCATACCTCGAACTTGAGCAATCGCTAAGAAGTTAGAGACAACTGCCAGAACGTTACACTCGAGCAGAAGAAAGATTGCGTGGCTCCGGAAGGAAAGCCCGAACTGTTCGCCGTGAGTTCGAATACTTCGTCGCGTGCCTGTGACATCTAAGTCACGTGACATCAAGAGACAGATCGCGAGATTTATTAATTTAACGAATGACCGCGCTCGAGTATATCATACAGTAGAAAATAGTACGCTATCGCGATATAACGCGATTTATTAATTCGAGAGCGCTTCAATCTCACCGGTTTGAAGTTTTACTTGATTGGCATGTTCGCGGAAGAATAAATAATGGAGTGCCGACAACATCGCACACGCGCGCGCCTATTCGCGCACCAAATTTTCCCGCGTCACCCTCCGTTATGTCCCATTATCCCGCTTTTATCCCGCTTTGAAGTGTTCTTATTTTGTTTCTTTTTTTTTTTTTTTTTTTTTTCCCCCGTTCTATTCGACGCGCGTCGATCCTATTAAAACGCGAAACACGGAAAAGCAATTTCGATTGCGATAAAGTAAAAACGTTTTCGTTTGTGAGATAGTCTTGCACGGAGTCGGAGTACTTTATCGGTGCGCTCCATCAGCATCCCAAGTATCCACCATTTCCGTTCGATAAACCCGGCTAAGATTAATTTGCGTTCAGCGAATTTACTAATCTCGTGGTAGCTGGTACAGTTACTGTAGATCGCGCTTTCAATCGTCCGCACGATTGTTCCCATTATACTCGATACACTGACAGGACATTGTAGCCCCTTCCCTCCCCCCCCCCCGTACAATGTTGGCGTAATTTAAAACTCCTCGATGCGCGCAGCCGATGGTAAAAGCCGGCTAGCGACGCGTTTTCATCCACTCAAATAACAAATATTCGGTCCTTTCTGTCCCTCGTTTTAGCCATTGTTAAAAATCTGGCTTGTTTTACCACTCTACTTGACTCCTATTTCTCCGCGTTGCCTCAAAGAGATTAGCACTCGGTGTGACGAACGTTTTGCAACTAAATTGTCCAAAGATATTATTATTATGTATGTTTTCTCTTTTGAATTATCGAATAACTTTAGCGGGCAATTTTCAAAGAAAAGCAAACTTTTTTCGCAGATCGAAATAGTTCGATAGGTTGTCTCGATAGCTTGGCTCGAGATTTGGCATGCTCTTTCTAAGATAGCTGATCTAATTATCGGGACGGGCTCTAATCGGGAATCATCGATTTCCGATCGGCGCCGACCCTTACGCGCGATGATTCGATTCCCATTTCCGCGACGGCACTCCGAATCATTTAAATGCTGCGCACGTTTTACGCAACGTCCTTTCTATCCTGCGTCGGTATTCTCCGTCACGACTCCCGTGACGGAGCGCACGAAAATGTCAACAGTTACAACGTGACTACGCTTGGTAAGCGCGGCGAACTATGCAGACTTGCGAGCGGATGCAATTTCGTTCGCGATAACGTAACGAATATCGCCATTATCGCCAGAAACTGACACCTCACCTTGGTCTTCCTCGGTGGGATAAGCTCGAAACTAATCGGAGCTTTCGCGAAGCTTTCAAACAATGAAGACAAGGCAATTTAGCGTTGATACCAAATACAAATATATTAACTTGCCGTTAACGATGAGCAATTGAATTTAATTATCCTACATCAAGAAATATGAAAGATATTAATTTAATAATTGTGTGTTTATAACGAAAGTTGCCAATTTTATTTTATTTTACATCATGCTCAGATATATTTGTCTTGACAGACAGCCATGTATTGACAAACTCCTTCTCGAAATCGCCTGCGAATCGTCTCCGAGTGTGAAAGTTACACTCGAGTCAGATTGCACGAGAGCGACAGTGAACACGACAGTGACACGATACGTTTCGCTTCTGGCACGCGATGGTTAATCAAATCTCCCGACTTCCGCATAATTTCGCGAAATTCAACGACCAGCGAAAGTGATCTCAGCCATGTGCGAGATATCTCTCGATGCGACGTACGAGTCCTAAACGGATTTACTGTTAAACACGGATGACTCGTTCGCAATA